TCCCTCCCTGGGGGCAGGGCGGGGCGGTGCACTCAAGTCCACCCCAGCCATGCGGATACTGGACTTCTGCAGGAATGAGATCATCCATCAGCTGGGGCAGCAAATGGGCAGCATGCTCTGTACGGACCCCAGAGGCCCATCGCGGGGACCTAGGCCACTCCCAGCAGTCAGCGCCAGCAGGTTGCCAGGCTCCTGGCTGCCCGGGCTCTGCAGACCCTCCCCTGTGTGACCTCGGGCGCAACTGAGCCTCCTGAGTTTGTATCGTCCCCTACACATGAGGACATCATGCAGAAACGCTCCTGTCCACACCACTGACCACCTCCCAAGACTAAGTGTGCCGCTGTGCCATGGCTACCTCGTCCATCTTGCCCAGGGTCCCTGTGGTCCCCATGCTGCTGGGGAGCACAGGGCTATAGCTGCCTGGGTGAAAGTCCTTAGGCAAAGACCTTTCCCCACCAACGAGACGCACGGCTCCCTGATCACATGGCACGTGCATCACGGATACTCGGCCTGTATCACCTCCACCACAAACCAGCCACACACAGCCGGACTGCAACAGGCACACTCAGCCCCAAGCACCCACTAGTTACAATGTCAGCCCAGCCCCCGGGAAGGCTCCTTTTAGACACGTGCTTTCTTAGAAATCCTCCTAGGAAGTAACTCCAATAAGGAAGTACTGTAGGATTTTTATAAGCCCTTGTGAGAGTTAAAAACTGCTTACTACCAAAATACCCATCCAGAGGTTTAACAGTGAATGGCTGGCTGCACCTGATACTCACTCTCCCTCGTACAGGACCTTGTGTCTCCCTGTCACTGGGTCTAGGTGGTTGGGGTCCTCCCTCGGGCTTCACTACCATGCTGCCCCCATGAGTGAGGCCTGTCCCTCTGCCTTAGACAGCTAGGATATGTGGATGGCAGAGCAGAGAAACCAGATCCTCACAGACGTCACTGAGCCACTTGAATCAAACCTACCCGAAAAGTCACCCCACCTCTCGACTTTCCAGCTTCTGGAGCCAAAAACCACCCCTCATTGTTTAAACCGGTTCCACCTGGGTTTTCTGTTACCTGGGACTGTAAACATACCCCCCAGGGGCAAGGGCAAGGTTCAGTCACTAGTGGCAGCCCTACACGGACTGGGCAACCAGGAAGAGACGCCTGGTCAAGATGTGCCAACTGGAAATATTTGAGATATGCTAAGTAAAATTAACTGTAGACTACTGCATAAAATAAGTCCCATTTGTGTGAGGACATTTGAATACGCATGGATATTTTCTGGAAGGCTCCTTCACAGTGGCTGCCTCTGGGAAGCAGGAGACATAGTTTTCACTTTGCACTCTACATTTAGATTGCTTTTCCTTATTTAAAAAAAGAGAAGAAAAACCTAGTTAAAAAACTGTTTGAGGTGACAAAATTTCAGTAAAAGGTGGTAATTCATTTTGGTAGTTATTAAACCATGCTTTCGAAGCCCTGGCTGAAATATGAGCACAGGGAAAAAGTAGCTGAGTGAACAAATAATTGTCTCAGACCTTTGTAAGGAGTACTTCCTTTCTTCGAAACCACTGTTAGTTGTAGTTGACTGACTCACGGGGACCCCATGTGCAGAGTGGAACTGCTCCACAGGGTTTTCAAGGCTGTGACTTTTTGGAAGCAGATTGCCAGGTCTGTCTTCCGAGCTTCCTCTGGGTGGGTTTGAACTGCCAACCTTTCAGCTAGCAGTCGAACGCTTAACTATTTGTACTACCTAGGACTCCAAAAAAGGGTTCCCTCAAATTGGTAACCTTGCCCGAACAGTATCCACTTAAATGCGTCCCTGTAACTTTTCACTTCCTCCCGAAGTTCAACTGCAGTCCCAGCTCTACAATGTCAAAACTTTCCACCTTCCTGGGGCACTTGGAGATCCCAAAAGCATTCTGAGAATGAACAGGCCTTCAATGAAACCCTAGCCTTTAAGGAGCAACAGCCAAGTCTTGCTGACTCAAAAAGTTGCTATAGCGTCAACCCCGGCTCATGGAGACCCCATCAGAGTAGAATTGTGCTCCACAGGGTTTTCAACAGTTGATGTACATCACCAGACCTGTCTTCTGAGGTGCCGCTGGGTAGACTTGAACTTTCAACTTTTCAGCTAGCAGCAAGCACATTAATGCTTGCACCACCCAAAAGGCCTTAAAGGTGTGTGGTTCTCCAGGTCTTTGGAGTGCACAGTGAACGGGAAGTCCTTGGGTCAAGTCTGCCCTGCAAGGCTCAGCAGTACCTCCTGGGCATGACAACAGACGCGTGCACAGGGAGGCCCCTCCACCACCAAGGTCCACTGGGGACAGGCTTCCAGCTGGGGGGCAGACAACTGGGACACTCCTCAATACCAGGGCTGAGAAAGGTTGCCCACGGTCACACAGATCCCCAACCCCACAGGTAAAGCTGAGGCTTTGGGGCCAGCGAGTGGCAGGGCTGGGGCACTGGAGCACTGGACAGGGACCTCTCCACAAGAGCAGGACGCCGTGCAGGCTACGACCCCTGCACTCGCCCCTCCTCGCTCTCTGCACCTCTGCAGTCCGTGCTCCGTTGGGGCTGCTGGCCAAGAAGCGATCAGACGGTCCCTCCGGTGAAGACTGGACCTTCCCTCCTCTGCTGAGCTCTGCCCTGGGGCCCCTAAAGCCCCCCCACTCAGGTGCATGTCCATCACCGCCGGATGGCCTGCTCCTGCATGGTGCCCCAGCCCAGAAAGCCCTCCATAGACTTGGCGGGTGGGGGATGCCTCTGCCCAGGAACCTAGCTTTAGGAAAACGAACACCTGACGCTAAGCCCTGGGCCAGGCCGCGGACTGGACACCCAGCACTGCCCGCAGCCTCTGCCAATGGGGTACCCAAGTCCTGGTGCAGAGGGAGCCATGCTGCAGAGTGCAGCCAGGCAGACAACAGTGCAAGGGGACTGCTGCTCCCAGGCTGGTTCTGTGCTGAGGTGCTCAGCAGGAGCCCGGGAGGGCTGCAGTTCACAGCTGGCAGGCAGTGCCCCCGCACCCCCGTTCAGCTGCAGGTTCAGATTCAGCAAGACTGGAGGGTTTGAAGCCAGGTTTTCCAAATCCTCGACAGTAACTTAACCTTTCTGAGCTTCACTTTTCAGGCGTGAGAATAGGACCCCAGAGCTCTGGTGAATGGGGGTGCTGTGAGGTGCTCAGAGTACTCCCTGTTTCCGAAGTCTCCTTTCCCCGCCATTCATTTCTATTGTTATTAATGTGGCCCAGAGCCATTTCCCTGCTGAGCTCCCAGCCTGGAGAGAAGCACGCATGAGGGAGGATGGAGATGGTCAGGAGCTGAGGGTTTTGAGGAGGTGCTGAGGACAGGCCTGCATCACCAAGGCTTGGTGCTGGGGAAACCGCACTCAGCCTAGAGAAGAGGGTATGGGTGGTGTGGCATGAGGGGTACAGGGAGCCGGCAGGTAGCTGGCTGGGAAAGAAGGCAGGCAGGCCAAAGGGGCAAAGCGCAGTTTTTAGGAGGAAGAAAATGGAGACGGGTAAAGCTGGAAGAGACAATAATGGGAGCAAGTCCCAAGAGGAAGGGGTAGGCGGGGCCCGGGGAGCATGAGGAGGAACCTGACGCCTAGTGAGCACAGGTGTGGGGCAGAGGGGTGCAGAGGGTCCCGGCTCGGGGCACAGGCATGGAGGAGGCTGGGCAGGCTGTGCAGGGGTGAAGGGCTGCACAGTGTCCTCGGTGCAGGGACAGTGTCTGATGGTGGCCTCCCACATGGGCACCCTGCTCACAGCTGTCTCATCTCTCCTTGCCCAACTACCCATAGTCAGATGAGGGGTGGATGATAGCCCAAAAGTTTTGTAAACTAATTAGAAATCAAACCCAACTTAGAAGTCACAGCCAGACTTCACCCTGGACTGGGCTATAACCGAGGAGCAGGCTGGAGAGGGGTCCAGGAGCTGCTGATGCCAACACGCTGGCAGTGAGGGGCTACACCCACACCCAGCTCCTCCCCCCAGCTCTCTCCTTCCCCTGGGCCGCACCGCCTGGGGTCGGGTCTTCTCCTCCAGGCCTTTACCAGTTGCCAACCAGCTGATCCCACATGTGTCAGAGTAGAACTGTGCTCCACCAAGTTTCCAGTGGCTGGTTTTCCAGCAGCAGATTGCCAGGCCTATCTTCCGAGGCCTCTCTGGGTGGACTCAAACCACCAACTTTTCAGTTAGCAGCCGAGCAGGTTAACTGTCTGCACCACCCAGGGGCTCCTCTTCCTCCAGAGTCAAAATCTGGTACCCCAAGCAGACAGCTGGCGTAGCTAAGCCATGAGCCAGCTCACTCCACGCAAAGCTCCACACCAAGCACGCTTGAAAGGGGTGCACAGAGCCTAAAAAGACACTTGATTAACTTTATTTCAGACTGGGCCAGAGACGGGATTTCTTTACCGTCTACGCTTCTGTCTGGCCACCAGCTCCCCCAGCAGCCCAGCTTACCACCGAGATGCTCAATACCATTCTGTTAGTGATCCCAAACAAAGACAACAACTTTAATATAAAGATATATTCCATAAGAAAGTTGGGCAGGCAAAGAAAAGTATCACACTTCCTAAAAACACAAGCATCCTTCTTCCCTTAGTCTACTGAGAAAAGTGTAAAAAACAGATCACATCATGGACAAACAGCCAGCAGTATGCACCACGATGGAATGTACACTTCGGGGAGTAAGTGAAGGCAGACTGGATCCCTGAGTGCTGGGGATGGTACTGGTACAGCTACGGAGAAGCGTCAGGAGAGCGCCAGCCCCAGGGGACACTCAGTACAGGAGAACAAGCCACAGAGTAGCATGACAGACAGGGTGGGCACGGACACCAGACAGCCCCGTGGGGCAGTCCCCACGGAGTTAGAGACAGGACGCCCTGGGCTTCCAAGCAGCTTCAGCTCGGGGCTGTGTGCGTGGGCCAGAGCACTGAGCTCCTCTGCAGGGAAAGGCGGGCCAGGCTGCCCAGGCCTGGGGTGTGGCACAAGAAGGGCCTTGGCTCTACGGGGGGTGGGGTGTCAGGATTCAAGTTCCGGGAACAGTCAGTAGCACAAAGACCACAACAGAAGACAGGAGGCCAAGCTGGGGTGCATGTGTCTGGGGAGCCTGGAGAGGGGACACACGCATCGCACTGGGGGTCACTGGGGACAGAAGAAGTGGTGCGGGGGCTGCTCGTGAGACGCTCAGGCAATGGACAAGGGTGGCTTCGGTCCAGGACACCACATAAGGCTGCTTGGAAGAGGAGGCCGGGGAAGGGGAGGGAAAGAGAAACTGAGGACGCTGTTACCCCTATAAATAAACTATGTACACTTCAAGAAGGGTGAGCTGGTGCCTGGTGGAGAACCACGCCCACACCCCTTGTGCCTAATGCTGCTGAGACAGAGGCAGTTCTGGCCCTGGGGGGCCGAGGGGCCTGCAGGGCAGCAACAAGGCCTTCCCGAGGCAGTCCACGCACTGGCTCAGGCTCACTTCACGCAGATGTGGCCAAGGGTCCTGCCCACACAAGCATTACTGCAGGCCCCGCCGCTCCCCAGTTTCGGGCAGGGTCCCTGTGCTGCCTGGTTTGATGGAGAGCAGGTCTGTCCACCCTGCAGGCTGCCCCAGCCCACACCCGCTCACAGGAGATGCGGCCCCTCCCCAGAGGTCAGCGCAGGGCCGACACAGGGACCTCAGTCGTGGGGGCTGCAGGAGGATCGAGTCAGTCCCTTGCGCAGCCACAGCCCCCACTGAAAGATACACTTTCTATCTGAGCAGACACCGTGGGGATGCAGTCACGAGTGTGTGTAGGGAAGAAGGGCCTGTGGTCTTTGGCACTGGAACACGGGAACAGATCACACCATGCCGCTGGTGACGGCAGGGTGCTGGCTCCAAGGGGCAGCGTGTCCATGCTCTCCCTCTGCACACGAAGTCAGTGACAGTGACGGTTCTGCCTCTACAGCGTGGCTCAGCTCCACACGCGCCTCCGCCACTCAGAAGTGATGACCTGCCTTCACCGCCTCGATGTCCGAGATCAGGGTCCTCGCCAGGAAGATGCCAAAGATCTGAAACCAAGGCAACAGTCAGCAGCTGTCGGTGGGGGGCCCAAGGCTGAGGGCACACCGCTGCTGTCCCCACCCCGCCGTGGCCGAGGGTGCACAGGGTGGCGCCTGGACAAAAACAGCTACTCTGGAGGTGACCCCGACGCACTGTGACCCCATGTGCGTCAGAGCAGAACCGTGCTCCAAAGGGTTTTTAATGGTTGGTTTGATCACCAGGCCTTTCTTCCCAGGTGCTTGTGGGTAGACTCCAACCTCCATCCTCGTAGTCAGCAGCCCAGCATGTTAACCATTTGCACTACCCGGGACTCCAACACTTGGGAACAGTGAACGCTCCTGACCCACGGGTGGGAAGCAAGTCTCAAGAAGTCAGAGACCTGGTCTCCCTGGCTGTACCCCGAAGGCTAGGAGAGACAAACAGGCACCCTCGACGCAGAGACCGACGCTCTGCCCTGCTTTCAACATGACCAAGCACACATGCTACAGGACATCTGGTGCCCTGGGCTACGCAAAAACGACAGGCCTCCCGGACTGGTTCTGACTCCCTTCCCTTCCCGAGCTAATGCGTTTCAGCTGTTTCCCATCAACCTAGATTCCATAATAAAAACAAGCTTGTCCCTGGTTTTCCTACGCTGCTGTCTGAAGACTCACCCTGACCTTTGGGAACATGCTATCATGTGGGGCGACAGCTGGTTTCCCACCAACAGACCAATGTAAACCTGGTAAGCTTAGTAAGCTTGCTTTTAGTCTTCCTTCAGGTTCTTGTCGTGGTTCCTGTTTGACAAGCCAGTCCTTCTGGAGTCTGACTCCCTTGGCCGCTGTGTACACTCTTCTTTCCTTTTCTAGATATTTTTGTCCCTCAGCCTCCCCCTGAGATGGCTCAGTACACATCCACCGAGCGTGTGTGGACAACTGGCGACCTGGGGTCACCTCAGTCGCTCCTTCAAGGCAAGGTCGGAGTCACACACTTTCCAATGGTGCATCTTCCATGCAGGCGCTGCTGGAGGGCCCCCAGCTTCTCCTCACTGAACATGGGCAAACCCCTGGTCTCTGGTCTGACTCCTGCCAGACCCTGGCCAGCCCATCCACCACAGGCCCCACCACCTGCTTGTCACCAAAATTCTTCCACCCGTGAAATCTGGCTCGAATGAAGGAGCGCAGCCTCAAAGGGGAAAGGGAGCTACAGAGGGCGGTGGGTGCCCAGCCCGGGCGCAGAGCCAGGCAGGATGGGGTCCTGGGGTGCCTGCACACACCTGAGCCACAGGCCTTCTTCAAGCCCCAGCTGACTGCCACTATCACATCCCGCTCCGCAGCTCCTGAGGCCTCCTTACACCCTACCACTCTCCCACCAGCAGGGAGGGGCCCGAAAGCAGGTGACAGCCCGCCCTGAGTGCACGTGGCCCCCACTCTCCAGAAAGGCAATCCCTCCTTAGGCAGCCTACTGCACCCCTGGACAGGGGCTGCTGGCAAGACCCATACAGGGCGAAGGTGCCCTCCTGGCCTGCCCCCAGACCTGAAGGGCCCACCTTCAGAAGCAGACCCCAGGGAGTGGGGAAACACATCACGGTCTGGGTCCAGCCTCCAACACGTGACCCTTATGGGAGCCACCATGCTCCTGCCCAATACACATACGCACCCACACACGTGCGCACACGCGCAGACATGCACCCACACACATGCACACATGGAGACATGAGCGCGCACACAGACATGCACCCACACACATGCACACGGAGACATGAGCGCACACACAGACATGCACCCACACACGTGTGCACACATGGAGACATGCACCCACACGGCACACACATGCAGGCATGCACCCCCACACGTACGCACACATGCAGACATGCACCCACACAGACATGCACCTACACACGCAGACATGCACACATGCAGACACGCATCCACACAGGTACACAAAGACATGCACCCACACACGTGTGCACACATGCAGACGTACCCACACATGCAGACACGCACCCACACACGTGCACACATGCAGACATGACACTCTGCTCCTGCCCACCACACACAGCCACAGGCATATGTGTGTACACATGCCTTGGGCATCCAACTGGACTCTAAAGAAAAAGGGGAAAAGGACCCCCCGGGGCAAACCTGCAGCAGCGAGATGGCAATGAAGACGCCAGCCACTATGTAGACGTTGCGCGGGAGCCAGCCCTCCAGTGCCTGGATGCAGCCTTTTGTGAAGATGGATTCATCCCACTCGCTCTTCGACTGCAGGGAAACATGATCATGGCTGAGCCCCGGCCCCACGGTTCCCCGGGGAGTAGGGTGGGGGCAGGGCAGGGGGGACAGGAAGCATCTGTGAGGCGGGCACAAAGACGGACTGAACTCTGCAGGAGAAACACGTCTACTTCTTTCAGTCTCTGCCAAGGCCCACAGCCGCTCACTGGGCGGCTAGCTGTGGTTACCCATCTAACCACAGGCCTCCCGGCCGTAACCTTGAACTCACTTTCTCTGTGTGGGCCTGCAGATTTACAGCTCAGCTCACTCAACTCACCCCCCAGAGCCCACAGCTACAGAAGGGGAGGGGACTTGGAAGCCTGGAAAGGGATCTGCCTTTACAGAGAAGGAAAATGGGGGCCGAGGCTTCAGTGTCTCGAGTCAGAGGAGTTAGCAGAAGAAAGGGAGAGTGGCTCTGAGGTGTGAATTTAGACTCAACCGTCTCCCAGCCCGTGACCTGGCAGCCACGGACACACAGCACTGGTAACCTGGCTCCCAGGGGCCTGAGCCAGTAGGCCACGGCATCGGCAAAGCGGTTCCCTCTAACCCTGAACGGAGAAGGCGTCTGCTCCGGAAACTCGGTAGGTGCACATCCCATCACCCACCCCACATTTGCCCCGCTCCCCTCACCTACCAGCTTCCTCCGTGGCTACAGTGATGTAGCATTACTTCATTTTAAAGGCTCTCAAGGGAACTCACACTGGGGAAACCTGCCAAGCTCAGTCACTGCAGGAGGACCTGGGCTTCCCAAGCCAGAGCACCCCTCCCTGCATGTCCATGCCCAGCAAAGACTCCTCCCCTTCAGAACAGCAGCCACTCACGTCACCAAAGGCCACCAGAAGGACTGGGATGGGGGTGTGGGCATGCCTGGTTCTTCGGGGAGGGGTCTTGTTTCCCCTCACAGTCAAGTGCACGCTCCCTGCAAGGGCTGAGCTCACCCTGTCCCTGCCCCAATGCCCCCTGTGGCCACCACTGCCTTCACACGGCAGCTGAATCACGCTTCACCCTGAACCCCTTCATGACGCTTATCTACAGAGGCTCCAAGGAGCTGCTTAAAAAGGCAGTCTTTATTCGTTCCCCGAAACTTCCATCTGATCTCCTTCCGCTAACACAGCAGCTGCTAGTTTTGTGACTGCAGTTCACAGGTTTGCAATTACCCACCACTCTTCCCAGGGGTCTCGCCAGCCGTCAGCACAGGAGTGCGTGTGAGGCTCTGTGCGCCCGCTCAGCGTGCGCAGAGCTGGGGACTGACTACGCCTTTGCGCTAAGCCTTTCCTGGCTTTCCTGCTCCAATGTGCACGTGTGCTAAATCAGGAAGCTGGACCACGGACGGGCAAGGAAACAGCACTCTTGAAGCTGTACACATGGGGGTCCTCACCTGAGTCCTGATGTCATATCCACACTGTGTGTTGACAACTTTTTGCTGTAAGAAAAATCAGGAAAAAAGAAGGAAATTATTTTTGTTTTCTGGAGAAGCTAGGGGTGGGAGGCTCTAAAACAAGTCACGGCCATCCAGCAGTAAACACCTATGCAAGTCCACGACAGCTGGCACCCTTCAATCACGCTGCTGACCAATCTTTCCTTCTCTGTAAAGTGCTGGACAGTGAATATTCTAGGCTTTGTGAGCCATACAGTCCCTGCAGCAACTGTTCTACTCTGTTGTTGGAGTATTAACACGGCCACAGACAAGGAGTAAATGAACGGGCGTGGCTGTATTCCAACACAACTTCATTTATGGACACTGAAATCCGAATTACACACAACTTTCACATATCACAAAATATTAATCATCTTCTATTTTCAACCATTTGAAAGTGTAAAAATCATTCTTGTAGCTTGTGGCTCATACAAAAAGAAATGGCAGGCTGGACTTGGCCCAGGGACAGCGTGCCGATCCCTGTTACTATCATCGGCCATCAAGTCGAGCTCGACTCATGGTGACCCACAGACAGCAGAAGAAACGCCACCTGCTCCTGCACCGTCTTCACGATCAGCTGTGGATCAGACGATTGTCATCCACAGGATTCACTGGCCGACTTTCGGAGGTAAATCACCAGGCCTCTCTTCCCAGTCCACCTTTGTCTGGAAGCTTGGGGCTGTACCTTTGCACTAAGCCTTCCCTCACTTTCCTGCTCCAGTTTGTCTGGAAGCTCCCAGTCCACCTTTGTCTGGAAGCTCGGGACTGTACCTTTGCACTAAGCCTTCCCTCAATTTCCCGCTCCAGTTTGTCTGGAAGCTCGGGTCTGTACCTTTGCACTAAGCCTTCCCTCACTTCCCTGCTCCAGTTTGTCTGGAAGCTCCCAGTCCACCTTTGTCTGGAAGCTCGGGGCTGTACCTTTCCACTAAGCCTTCCCTCACTTTTCTGCTCCAGTTTGTCTGGCAGCTCCCAGTCCACCTTTGTCTGGAAGCTCCGCTGCAACCTGTTCAGCAACACAGCAACCACAAACCACCCATAACCGACGGGTGGCGGCTGCACTGAAGCGCATTAGCTGGGAATCGAGCCCAGGTCTCCAGCATGGAAGGCGAGCGTTCTGCTGCTGAACCACCACCGCCACACCCAGGACCAGGAGGGAAAGGCCACGCCTGCTGGACAGGTGTGCTCCAGGGTCACCACCACTGCC